AATAAAAGGTAAATGTTAGGGCTGGTTTGACAGTTTATAACACAAAACATTACAGAAATTTCTTTTTATGACACTGTATAATTATGATGACCCAGTTTGGGATCATTTAGCATTGTCGCATTGCCAAAAATTAGCGTCCTTGACAAAGATTTTGTAAAGAACTTCCTATAGTAAACCTCTACAAAAGTTGCTGGAATCAATGGCCCTTGAGTCAGGAATAGCTTTTGTGGGCACTTTTGTTACTTAAAATCATGATTGTATGAAACTTAATTAAACTTAAAAAAAAATTCTCAGCAAATACAGTGCTCTGTCAGCCAAGATATGTAACAGTACATTCCCTTTTTTGCCCTTTGGATCATGTTGCCCCCTTTTTGGGAAATTAGATTCAAGTTTAAACCCTTTTTAAACAAAACGAACCCAAAATGGGGGCCTTTCCCAACATTAATAATAGAGCCGGGCCACCAGTACTTCATACATTTTGGCCATTTTTATACTTTTGGAAAAAATTTTAGTATTTTCACAACTTTAATTTTGAAATCGCTGAAATTTTTAAAATGAAAAATCTTAACAAAATTAAAAGCCGGTAGTGACCCCCATATAACCAAAATTTATGATACAGATTGAACCCCATGCTAAACGAAAAAACCTGGTGATAGTGAACCCAACAGTAAACCAGTTATACAGTTTTTGAAGCCATGCTAACAGAAACCTTTTGCGATACATATTGAACCAGCAACAGAAAACCATTGTGATAAGTTTTGAAGCCATGCTAAAAGTAAACCAATTGTGATACAGTATTGAAGCCATGCTAAAAGTAAACCAGTTGTGATACAGTATTGAAGCCATGCTAACAATAAACCAGTTGTGATACAGTATTGAAGCCATGCTAAAGATAAACCAGTTTTGATACAGTATTGAAGCCATGCTAACGATAAACCTGTGTGATGCAGTATTGAAGCCATGCTAATGATAAACCAGTTGTGATACAGTATTGAAGCCATGCTAACAGTAAACCAGTTTGATACAGTATTGAAGCCATGCTAACGATAAACCAGTTGTGATACAGTATTGAAGCCACACTAATAGTAAACCAGTTGTGATACAGTTTTGAAGCCATGCTAACGATAAACCAGTTGTGATACAGTATTGAAGAAAATAATTAAGACATTATTTATATGAAAATATTTATTTATTTAATCATCATAACAACATTTTCAGTAACATTTCAATCAATACAAGTATAATTGAAATAAATACATAATATTTCAAGACATAATAAAAAGAAATGTCTTCATCTTTCTACAGGGAAATAAAAAAATAGAACTTCGGGGATATTAAAAAGGAAAAAAATTTTTAAAATTTATTTAAAACTTTTCAATTATAAAATTAATTTAATTTAGATATTTAAGCAAAAAATAAAACATGACAAAATGAAAAAGGGGAAAAATGAAGTACTTGATAATTTTATAACTAAAAATACCCCCGGGTCATAGATATGGGATGGGGGTGATCATTCTGCATATCGACAGGGGTTCCATCAAATTTAATTCATGCGGAAATTTTTATTTCATGGGTAGCCGAATCTGCGCTAATCTTTTTGCCATTTTTTGCATGAAAGCTTTTAAAAAGATTCATTTTTCACCAATTTTTTTTGGTCCAAAGAATCATTTTTGGTTTTGAACAAAGTTTTAAAAATTTAAAGCATTGGTACTTTTTAGGGAAAAAAATTTTAAAACAATAGAAATGCAAAACTGAATTGATGCGGTTTAGACGGGAAAAATTTTGTCCCCCCTGACCCTAACAAGAACAAATTAAAAAATGGGAAAAAAGGAATATAATTACAAAAGTATAAAAACAAAAAACCTTGGGGCATGTAATTGTAAATTGGGACTTATTACAAAAAAAACAAAAATTTTTTTTATAAAAACTTTTTAATTTTTTAACTTATATTTAAGGTTTAAAAAATGTTTTATTTTTAAACAAAAGTTTGCTCCTTTTGCTTTTTGGGCCCTTTTTACATTAATATTCCATTTTTCATAGAAAAAAAAATACCATTTTTTAAAATTAAACAAAATATACGTAACTTTTTGATTTAAACCCAGGGAACATTTCAAAATTTAAAATTATCTCAAAAATTGATTATGTTGTTTTCAAAACCTTCTGGTCTTTTAATTACATCAAGATAGCAAGGCCTATTTCCATAAGCAATACTGTTGAAAAAGCCCCAATTTAATCTTGAAAATTTCTAAAAATTGAAACACCAACCCAACACCCCCACCATCCATACAGTCCCCTCAAGTTAACTCAACTATGAATGCATATTTTTAAGTGTTTCTTTTAAAGAAAAAAGTGCAATGTTTGTTACATGCAATAAAAGTAAAAAGTTATTTCTTGATTAATACTGTTATGAAATGTACTGTCATGAACAAGAAAACAGAATAAATTGTTCTGAATATAATTTTTAACTTTATATTTTAAAAGGTGTTGCGCTGTTATTTTCTGCTGGCAATTTTAGAAACTAACTTAAGTAAACATAATTATTTCAATAAAGTTATGATTTTTATCTAAATAAAAACTAATTACACATAGCTTTATATAGCTTTAAAACATTTAAATATACATTGTTTTGAGACTTTGCCAGGTAAACCTGACCACTTGACCTGATATAATTGACCATTGATATTTTATAAAAAAGATGATGAATTATTTCAAAAGCAAACCAGAACTGACCCAAAAAACAAAGTCAATGTGTTAAAGTGGATTGGTCTACAATTGGTACATTTTCCATAAGTATTTCAAATTTTGATAAAAACAAAAGTAATATTCTTATATGAAATAAAAAAGTTGATAAAGTTTGAAGTGATTTAGAGATAAACCTTTGCCACAAGCATAGGGAAAGGCCAACCTGCACTGCCATGACTGTTGACTGACAAACATGATCTTTTCTTCTTGATATCCCCAAAACTGGTAATGGATAGTTCCAAAATTGGAAAAGTCCATTTCAGAAATTCAAGGCAGGCCGGTTCCAATATCCAAATTCTAAAATTGAGTTCTCAGCAGTATCATAATTATAGAGAACCTTGTCAGACACTGTATGAATTTGCAGACTTATCTAATAGTATTTTAGTGGCACAAGTAAGTCATGGCAAAGCAGTAGCAAGTCATGGCAAGGCAGTATTATTTCTTAAAGGGTATAAAGCTACATGTATATCTTATAACATAACTGGCAATAAAGTTATACTATTTCCATAATCTATAATGGTTGATTCTCGATAGAGTTGTAAAACAAACATGAATACTGTACATAAACTGAATAATATGTTGCAGAACAAAATATTATTTTTCTATTTTAAATAGATTTTTATCTGTTTAGCAATGATTTAATTTATGCGCCATTTGCTTATAAAGCAATTTGAAAGTATCCTTTTTACGCCTCCAAAGGGAGGCATATTAAAATCGCATCGTCTGTCTGTCCGTATGAACCTAGAGGTACTTGTGTGACTTGGAGAACAATGGGTAACAGTAAATTCTCTTTGATCCTATTTATTCTGATTTTACTTGTGTGTCTTTTTTTAAGCCTTGTGTGACTAAAAATGGCCAAAAAGATCAAAGGAAATGTCACAAAAGTACCATTTTGTGCGTACGTCAGTCCCCTTTTTCGTTTGGGCAAACCCAAAAAGATAGGGGGCCCTTTTTACTGTAAAAAACAAAAAAACAATAAATCATTTCCCTAACAATAAACAGCGCTAAGGGGCCCCCCATAAACCCAAAAAAAAAAACAGTAGAAATGGCCCTATCCCTATTTGGTTGGATGTCGGTCTGTCTGTGCATCCCCACTTCATTTGTGTCTGGACTGTAACTTACAGACATACATTGAGGGTTTTTGAAATAACTTACCACAAATGTCTACCACATCAAGTTGATGTGTCGCGTCCAAGATCTGTCCCTACCTCATAGGTCAAGGTCACACTATCATTTTAAAGTTTCATATTTAAGAAATTAGTGTAAAAAGGTACACACATTTGTGTCCTGACTGTAATTTTGTCATGCATCAAATGATTTCAAAATATCCAGGCATTAATGTCTACCTCATCAAGACGATGTTGCGTCCAATAATTACATCCCTACCTCAAAGGTCAAGGTCACACTAACATTTTGAAGATTCCCATTATCACAATTTGAATTAATAGGTTACTTACACACAATAATGTCCTGGCTGAAACTTTGTCATGCATGGAAGGATTTTAAAATAATTTGGCATAAATGTCTACCACATAGAGATACTGTGTTGCGTTCAATAATCATGTCCATACCTCAAAGGTCAAGGTCCCACTAACATTTTGAAGTTCACTTTATCACAATTAGAGTTTGTAGGTACACACATTCGTGTCCGGGCTGTAACTTTGTCATGTATTGAAGGATTTTAAAATAACTAGGCAAAAATGTCTACCACATCAAAATGACATGTTGCAACATTAAGACCCATGTCCCTACCTTCAAGGTCAAGGTCACACTTATAGTTAGAAGGTACTAATTCTCTCGAGAAGAGTTTGAAGATACACTTTCATGTCTGGACTGTAACTTTATCATGCATGGAAGGATTTTAAAATAACTTTGCATATTATGTCTACAACATCAAATTGATGTGTTGCATCTAAGACCCATGTCCCAAGGTGGTAAGTTTGCTATAAATAGCACTTCATTTTACAAGAACAATATTAAGCAATTCTCTTTCCTTTTCATAATAACTTTCTGCAATGTGTAAGAAACCTTTGAAAATTCCAACAGTAATTTTGTGAACAGATATAATTATGTATATAGATCTAGCTTTATATCCTTTCATATTTCAGTTACAACATTCTGATAATAAAAACAATTACCTTGAACCTCAATAGTTATTTGCAATATGTATATATTTAGATAAATTATATTCAATCATTTACATACAGCAATAGTCTAAATCCACATCTGTAACACTTCTGCATGATGAACACAATTTATCAATCCGAATTGAGCACTTTAACTTGGTTTTCCACTATGAATGAGGTAGTACTGTTATTTTGTAGCATTGAGTGTCCAGTTTCATTTTCTGATTGAAAATTTGAATCGGAATGTATAGTAACTATGGGAACGATTTCTTGCATTGTTGATTCTTGCTCCTGTCCGGAAGCTGCTGCGGAATGTTCATGAAACGTTACCATAGGTATCAGTTCATTATCATTAACATCACTTTCATCGGACATTTTAAGAAACGGTTTATTATCAAAATCCGCTGTTTGAATTTCACTGTCAAAATGAGGCTGTGCATCAGTCACTACTTCAATCGGCACTCTAGTGAAAGTTCTCCGTCGTAATGTTTCCGTTTGTGTCCTAGATTTATTTACTTTTCGAACAAAAGATTTTGTTTTATTGAAACTATTTTGCAGACGTTTTAAAAAATTGAGGTAACCCTTTTTTACAATTTTAAGTCTTACAGCATAAATGATAGGGTCAAAGAGACAATTTGCAAGTTGTAGTATATATAAGTATTTACTTACTAACAAGAATGTATCAAATAGTTTGTACACATTTCTTTTGTTAATGTGTATTTCCACGATCATTGTCAGTTGGAAGATACAGTTTGGCATCCAACATAATATAAAAGTTCCGATGATTAGGAGTGTTGTGATTAATGCCTTTTTGTTATGCAATGTAAAACACCGCGTAAATTGCATTTTTGCTTGTATTCTACGCACTTCAAAGAAAATGCGCATGTATATAAATATGATCGCAAATAAGCAAATCAAGGTTACTCCAAATATCAGATACTCTGCATGGTAATTGTCATACATTATATATTCACAAATGTTAAAAAGAGTCTGTGAATGATACCCTATTGTCCCGAATATAAAGTTAGAAAATCCGCCAAGTGCTGCTAACAGCCACATGCAGGCAATAAGAATATATCCATTCCTTTTTGACATGATATAAGGGTACCTGTATGGTTTCATAATAGCTATATAATGGTCCATAGCCATAGCTAATAGGTTGAGCAGCACTATAAGAAATGACATAATGTTTAATGAGTTGATACTTGCGAAAAAGCACGAATTAAGCAAACGTGTATTTGGTTTTGTCATTCCAATAGTCAAAGGTGACATTGTGTAGTTGAAAATTTTATTCACAATGTGAATTAACACACTAATAACAATTATAATATCAGACACTGCCAAGTTAATAATTAGTTTCAGATGAGTCGTTAGCGAGTGCTTTATATGAGAGACCGCGATAATTGATAAAATATTCGTAAGCAGTGCAAATATACAAAGTATTAGAATTACGATGTATTCTGGTTGTTGAAGAATTTTTTCTGCTTGCTCCTTCCAATTGTATGGCTGCAGTGAAGGCCATAGAGATGATTTTAAGAGACTCTCGGTGATATTTTGTAAGCTTACTTCAGTTGTATTACTTAAACTAGCAAGTAAATCCTCTAGATCAATGTCGAGATCAAATGATTTTTCGCCGGTCTCTGCAGATTCAGTTTTGTATGTGGCATTTTTTGTATTGAAAAAATTGAAAGAACTTAACATATTCTATGAACAGAGAGAGATTTTATAGTTCTAAACTAGCATCTTTATCTCTCGGTTAAAATCCTCATCCACCATTTGAATAAAAGAACACAATAGATTGTTCTTGAACATACATTGCTTCAATGTTTTTGTATTTTATTGTCATTTTAACATAATTAAGTATGCCTTAATTTCGGGAAATAACGGGATGCAATGTAAACTGTACGAAATCCATTACATTGTTTATGCATCCTAATTTAGTAACTTGGTAGCTATAAAAAAGCCACATAATGTCAGACATTGACATGTGTGTGGGTTGAAGTGGTCACAACAAGATTATGCATTCACTTCTGTTTAATGACTTATTTCATAAACAGTTCTCTAGAAATGGAACATCCTGGTAATGTGACTTTAAACACTGGTCAGACAACTTACTGTTTTAAACCAGCATCGTGTACATATCATTGCTTTCCATATTATCCAGATTGACCTGCAAGTAAAATAATGACATTCATTAAGTAATGTGAATATGATAGATTTCCATTAAGCATGTTACATGTTAATGAACAGTAGTTTTCAGATTTTATATACATTGTGAAAGATTGTTTTGTTTGTAAGGAATTAAATCATATTTACTTTGTTATTATTACTTTGTTATGGTTTTGTATCCATATCCCAAATTACATCAACTACTGAAAAGTTCAATTTCATGCCCCAGAACGGGCGGCATATCATAATCCGTCTGTCTGTCTGTGCGTCCCAACTTCATTCGTGGGAGCATATCTTCTACATGCATGGAGGAATTTTTATAAAACTTCATAGAAATCAAATGTTAACCACTATGAGAAGCAGTGCCACATGCATGAACCAGGTCTCTTTGTCATAGGTCAAGGTCACAGTTACAGGTCATTGAAAAATGCTTGTCCAGAGCAAAACTTTTACATGCATAGAAGGATTTCAATATAACTTGGCACAAATGTTCACCATTGTGAGGCGAAGTGTGGCGTGCAAAATTTCGGTCCCTTTTGCCATGGTCAAGGTCACATGAAGAGGTCAAAGTTTGTGCATGGGGACCATTTAGCTATCATTTATTGATGGATTGTAACACAAATGATAATTATCAGGACTACAAGTGTGACGCATGTAATTTAGGTTAATATTTTCAAGGTCAAGGTCACTAGAGATGATAAAATATCCAGAGATTTTTTCGGAAATTGCCCAGATCATATCTCCTATATGCATATCTATAATGCCCACGTCTCTGTTAAAAGCTTTTGTGACGGGCATATTTTGCGACAATGTTGCCCTTGTTTATTTTGTAAAGTTAGATGACTTAAGCCTCTACCATAGGTCTTCCTCCAGCAGTAAAGCTGGGAAGTTACCACATGATCATTACAAATTGTCAGTATTGCTTGAAACCCAACAAAATAAATATTTAAGGTGAAATTACATTAAAAAAAAAGAAAAGAAAAAAAACAAGGTTCCAGAATGTGTTGTAAAAAATTAATTTGCATCTAGCAAAAAAATGCAAAGGAGCATCGATGCCCCTTGAAGGTCTTTATTTTTTTTAATAAGCCCAATAATTTGCTTTGAAAGAACAATTTGGTAAATATTGTAATTTCTTTTAAGCATTGATAAGATTATGAAATTATGTTTATAATTAGTATGAAACTAAATCTTTTTGTTTTAATTTTTCTTTCCAAGTTTATATAAAAGTGTTAATAATGTTTAAAATATTTACTCTTACTTACCCTTTTATTTAAAGCATTGTAATAAATCCAACTAAATCTTTCAAGTAAAATATTATACCTTTTGGGGTTTTTATTTTGTTTTTGTTTTTTTCAAAATTGAAATCTTTAACAAGATTAAAATCTTTTAAATTCCATGCTCAATTTTTGTTTACACACACACCAGTATATTTATTACAAATGAATGAATAATTGGTAGAGTCATTTGTACACTATTTTTCATATTTTTCTATAATATAAAATCTTAATAAACTGTCCGTCTTTTGTCCGTTTTCTGGTCATGAACTGTTATATTTAGCAACAAGATTGTTTTGATGTTCAGTAGAAATGGGGTTGTTTTTCTAACATTATAATTGTCTGATGGGCTGTACTTTGTACATTATTCTTATTTTCATAGTGTAAGGCAGTGAATGTCATTTTGTTAATAAAAACAACAGATTTATTTCGTGTTGGGTGTTTTTATAACATCATCCAGAAGATGACCATGTCTAAAAATAGGACAATAATTTATATAATAGCCTTGCAGTTCGGTATTTACCTGTGACCTTGCAGTTCGGTATTTATGTGTGACCTTTTTTCTGGACAGCTAACCAGTTAAATGTTTAAACCTTACCATGCTAAAATATCATAATAAATTTGTCTGTCTTGAAATATAGTCAAATCCAGCCATCATTTTAAAAGAAGCACAACTTATGATTTATGCCAATTTTCAAGGAAGTTTTGAAAATGTAGTAAAGAGTAAAATATTGTGATGTGAATAAAGAAAATCATTTTCACATTGCAAACAGCACAAACAACGCATGTAAACTATCAAAAAGAGGTCAAAATATGCAAAAATAGCCCTTAATAGTTACCGTAAAATTCCTATTAAACGCCCCTTGGGGCTAAACATTTTCCAAAAGGGGGCACAGTTTTTCCTAAATCCAAAAATCATTGTAAACATTGTGTTAAGATTTTAAAGTTCATATTAAAAATAAAATGGATTCTGAATGATTTCAATGAAATTATGGATTTACCCATGAGTAGATTGTTTTTCTTATCAAAAGGCCTGGGGGGCCTTTATTAGGGGAGGGGCGTTTATTAGGAATTTTACGGTATGCTATTAACATATTAGAAATTATGGTGAAAAATACTGCAAAATCACTCATAAATAATAGCACTTAAGATGGAAATTACTTTTATGTTGAATCTTTTTAACTTGTTTTAAGATCTCAGTACTTTTTTCTCAAGTTTGATTTTGTTGAAATATTTTGGCACTGCAGCTTTAATAGGGAAATTTCAAAATTTATGTAGAGTGAAAAGTGAACTGTGCAGACCAATTTATGACACTATATGAATGTGCCTTGTAAAGCACCAATTGCAAAAGAAATTATGTTAGTTGATTATGCCCCCCCCTGTAAACCTGGGTTAGTCAAAATGCATTCAAAGGCTCACTGAGAGAAATGTTTAAAAAAAAAGTAAAAAAAAGATAGTAAGAGTAAAAAATAAAAAAAGAAGAACAAAGTTAAAAAAATTATTATAGAAAAAAAAGTTAAAAAAATTATTAAAGAAAAAAAAGTTAAATAATTGTTTAAACCATTAGTACAACATAAAAAAATACAGAAGTTTAAATATATAATAATTACATCTACCTTCTTTCCAGATAACAGAGAGTGTTTTCAGACTTGACTTTCATTTTATCTGTCTGTAATTTTGATAGTTCTTAGCTGATCAAAATGATGCTGCTATGGTAAGTTCTCAATTCCATGTATCTCATGACCAGATTATCTTTGAACACTTGAATTTTAAATATATACACTTTTTTTGCTTATTACAGATGAAACAAACTTCCCAATACCAGCACCTATCTCCCTAGTGACTGGAATTTTATATGGTTACATCACTTATATAACTTGTAATATAACTCTTGAAATGCTAGGTGTCATTTTATTTTTACAGCCATTTTGAACAAATAGTTTGTATTTCCCTCTAGAAAATCCAGCAAATGTTCATCCTTTATCTACTTGTTACTGTGCTTCATGAAATGTGTAACACTTTGTTATAATAATTTATTCAGCTTTTTTTGTTCATAAAGCAGTCTGTATTGATTTATACATTATTCTATAAATATATATATTATATTATTTATATAACTTTGAACATATGTTATTCAAATATGAGGAAAGTTAATTTACAGTGTACTTTGCAGTTTAATTATTGTAATAGAGAAATTGGTAACTGGCCATATTTTTTTATGCTTCTAAATTTAATCCTTAACTTATTGAACTTCTCACCAATTTCTTGTAATTTTGACTCGCTAAATTCTAAATTGGCCTATTTAAGTCAGTAGGGAGAGCATCATCAAATTTGTAATTCAGGAGTCACTGCTTTGATCATAAGTTGTCAATGACAGTTGATCTTGCTGCTTGGATAACTGTTTTCAAGCAATTGCCAGCCCTAAAACCCGGATTGCCAGCCGAAAAACAGATTGCCAGCCTAAAAACCGAAGTCCAGTATAATGATCTACCAGGAATGTATTGTAAATGATCCATTTGTTCAGTAATTTCACTTTTCTCTAAAAAATTGAAGTTTGCTTTTTTATAGATTTGTTATAAATATATATTACTGGTTATATGGCTGTATATTAATGGTTATTTTCTATATAGCCATAATCATCACCTAATATCTCAGGTTATATTTTGTATTTAAAAAAACGGGTTTATTTTGGGTAAATAAAAACCTGCCCCCAAAAAGCCCTTTTACAACTTTATTATTTGGAAGTGTTTTTTGACCCCCCATAAACAAAAATTTAATTTTAACCTTTTTAAGCCCAGGGGACAGCAATTTTAATTGTTTGAAATTTTGGGGGGAAACCCTTTCTCCATTCAACCACTTAACAATTACTAGTAAAAATTTTTTTAATTTATATTTAACTTTGAGAAATCTGTTTTTGGGCCCTTAGGGAAACTTTAACATTTTTTACCGGGGGAATTTTATGAATTAGAATCTAGTTTTTTTTTTTATTTTGGGCGGGGCCCAAGTTTAAAAATTTGGGACGGTTTTGAAAAAGGGCACTTTTAAAGCTTTTTTTTTCCAACAGTTACATTTTTTATGAAAAAAGCCCATTTAAATTTAAAGGTGAAATTTGGTTTATTGTGTTTTGTTTAATTTAAAATTTTTTTTAAAGGAATTTACAAAAAAAAATTATCAAAAGGGGCTGGTGAATTTTACTGGTTTTTTAGACTTTTTAAAAGGGTTTTTTGTTTTGGCTTAGCATTTTTTTAAATTAAAATTTTTGTCCCATTACTTTAAAAATCCCCCCCTCACCCAAAGCATTTTGGGGGAAGGGATGAGGGGACATTTTTGGGAAATTTTTAAAAACCCGGGGGCCGGGAACATGTATAAATTTAAACCCGGGGAAAACACAAACCCCCTTTTAAAAGGCCTTTGTAAAAGGCGCGTTTTAAAAAAAAAAAAAATTTTCCCCCTTATTTCCCAACCTGTTTTTACTTTTTAAAACGCCCAACCGAAACCTTTGCCCCCGGGGAAAAAAAACCCCCCGGGCTGAACTTCAAAAATTTTAAATACTTTTTGGGGCCCAATTTCCCCCAAAAAAACCATGGGGGGGTTTAAAAAAAAAAAAAAAATACGTAAAACTTTTAAGAAAAAAAACTAAAATGTTTAAAATTTTTTTGAATAAAAAAACTTCAAGGGGGGGATCATCCCTTGGGGCCGGGGGGCCTTTTTCCCCTTTAATGTCCCTCTTTCCTTTCCCCAAAAATGTTTGGGGTTTGGGGGGGA